GTTGCCATCTCCAGCACTTAGGAGGAATTTCCCTTTCACTCCATGTGGGTTCCCTGGGGAGCACCCTGCCCAGGGAGTTATTTCCCAAGCAGTTGCCCCACCTCCATGGAGGCCCATGTACATTTTTGAGGGCCAAATAGGCAATTTGCCTTTTCACTCTAGCCTTTGAGCTGTGGAGATTTGGAGTCTGGGCTACCTAGAAAACCCCTGGCAAAGACTCTAAAGCCATGGAAGCAACACTTAGCTCAGATGAGCAGATGAGGAAGGATGGGCTCCATCAGGAGCTACTACGGGGCGTGATATTCATTACTGTGGAGGGGACTCAGGAGCAGGAGTGACATTTAACCTACCCAGCATCCCTTCAGGGTACATGTGCATGTCCCCATTTACAGAGGAGGAAGCAAGTGCACAACTAGCAAATGACAGAGTGACAGAATGAAGACTATATATAACTATCTGCCTGGAGCCTGTGACCCCAACCACAAGTCACATGTACTACCAGGCAAGGGACAGAACACAGTTTGGAGAAGAGGAAGGGCTGTGGGGCCTGATCTGACAAGGAACCAAGCACTGGGGGACCCGGTGCCCCAAGACCAGTCCACTCTGCTTATCAGTGCTTACAACACAGGTGCTCACCTCTGCCCAGGGAGTGTTACATCCAGCTATTCATCTAATGTGTATCCATTAGGGACTTGGCAGTGCCGGGACCTATCCTAACTATAGGGGACATGTCGTAAAGTGTAGTGGTTATACCTAAGTCTTCCTGGGTGCCAGCTACTGTTTGAGGCACTGTGCATGGATTAGCTCATGCTAACCCTCACACCAACTCCATAGGTCACTGTTATTATCTTTGTATATGAAGAAAATAAGAAATAAGAGAAGCAGGTAGCCCAATGGCCCACAGCCATTCTACTTGAGAACCAGGACTGGAATCCTGTCAGTTGGATTCACCTGTCTAACTACCCCTGCCCTGTTTGGCATTTCGTAAACCCTGCTCTGATGTAACAGATATTTTTTCCTTAAAATAGATATGTGTTTTGCCAATTTTTCCCCCCTTTTCCCTTCTTGGGAGGCTCCATGCGCGGGGCTCATCGGCTAACATAAGACATTTTCAGTTTGGGTTTTGTACCATTTTATATGACATGGGGATGGAGGGGTGATTTACACCACTGGCTTCTCATAACCCTGCACTACTGGCCACACCGTGCCATGCAGTGGCCTGGCATTCCTGATCACTTTCATGCCCTGGGCCCATGGTCTTAATTGTCCCATTGCATGTCCACATCCCGCCCCTGCAGCCACACATTTCCTTTTTCCAATCTCACTGCGGTGCTAACTCTCCATGCAACCTCCCCGCACTAACTCTCCTCCTTTTTCCCAGTGTGCTCCGCTTCTCTCCAGGTCTCTAGACCCACCCCCTCTTTTCCTTGGAGGACAAATTTACCCAACAACATGCTGTGGGGCTGGAGAAATGACACAGCAGTTAAGAGCACCAGCTACTCTTGCAGAGGACCTGAGTTCAGTTCCCAGCACCCACATCAGGCAGCTCACAGCTGCCTGCAACTCCAGCTCTGCAGAGGGATCTGATACTACTGGCCTCCATGGGCTCCTGAACTCATGTGCACATTCATGCATACAGATACATATTTCAAGATAAAACAAATCTAAGAAATGGGTTATGACAACACCCAAAGTAATTTAATTCAGTTCTGTTTGCTGAAGAACAACTAGGTAATGAGAATGCTTCTAAAACGTTTGGCATCACAGGGCCAGTAGGAAAAAGTCAAGGTCACGGACAGAAGTTTAGATCATGTTGTACTATGGCCTTCACTGCTCTGTACCCATTGGCAAAATCTACCACCTCTCTGAGCCTCTCTTTCTTTATTTACAGAATGGATTGTCAGTACTGATTCTGTCTGCCTCCAAGCACTTTTTATGGAGACTAAATGAGGTGGAAGATGGGGACACGATTTCGAAGTAGGAAAAAAAACAGTGGACAAGGGTTGGTTATTGGGCCAGTTTGAAAACTTGGTGTCAGTTTGATAAATGAATAGTCCTAGCAGCCCTGCAGATTGACTCTTTGAATGACAAATAGCTCCCTTCCGAAGATCTGTTGATGTGTTTGGGGTCCCAAGAAGGCGGTTATCTTTGGCCATTCCGATGCTCCCATCCCTGGAATTATTTTGTATCTAATTTTACATAATCCTTGAACACTCTTCAACCAATCATTTACTGATGTCCATTGGGAGAGAGACCTTGTGTTCAGCCCTGCAGGAAGACAGAGATGGGTTTTGAAATGATCTCTGCCTTCAGGAGCTCTTGATAAGAAGAAATGGAATAATTGTTACAGCATCAGCGTATTTGCCCACCATCACAGCACTTCTGTGGATTGCTAAAGTTACCATGCAGAAAGTGAAGTAAATTAACCCAAGTTCACACTACTCTGAAATCATAGAGCTGGGTCTGAACCTAGGAAAGAAGATGGGAATCCAAATAACTCCATCACAAAGCAAGGGCTACTGTGCATCCCAATAAAAAGGTGGAGGTGGTGACGATGGTTGATAGCAGTTGTGCCACTACTGTTGTTGGTAATAAAGATGACACCAATGAGATCACAATTGTGATGACAGTGACAGTGGTGGGGAGGTGAGGATGGTGATAGTGGTAGTGATGATGATGGTGGTGATTGCAGTGATGCTACTGTTGTTATTGATGATTATGATGATGATGGCATTCATGGTGATGATGGGAATGATGGTAATGACAATAGAAATAATGGTGATAGTGATGATGGTGATGATGATCCTGATGGTGACAGTGATGGTTATGATAGTGATAATGGTGATGATGGTGATGACCATGCTGCTGCTGCTGGTGTTATTGATAATGATCATGGTATTCATGATGGCAATGATGGGAATGGTGGTGATGATGATTAGAAAAATAAGATGACAATGATAGTAGTGATAATGATGATGACAGTGAAGGTTATGACAGTGATAATGGTGATACTGGTGATGGCCATGCTCTTGCTGATGCTGTTATTGATAATGATAATAGTATTCACAATGATGATATTTTGAATGATTGTGATGGGAATAACAGTGATGAGGGTGATGATGGTGATGATAATGATGATAATAGTAATGATTGTGATGATAGTAGTGATGATGGTGGTGATAAGTGATGAGAGTAATACTTATAGGAATATGGTGATGATGATAATGATGATGGTAGTAGTGATGGTGGTGGTGATAGTGGTGGTGGTGATGATGGTGGTGATGATGGTGGTAGTAATAAAGGTGGTGGTGGTTGTAAAGACGATAATGGTGGTGATGATAGTGGTGGTGATAATGGTGATAGTGATGATGATGGTGGTGATGATAGTAATGGTGATGATGGTGATGGTGATAGTGGTGGTAATAAAGGTGGTGGTGGTTGTAATGATGATAATGGTGATGATGATAGTGGTGGTGACAGTGGTGGTGGTGATGATGGTGATGATGGTGGTGGTGATAATGGTGGTGGTGATGGTGGTGGTGATGCTGCTGGTGGTAATGATGATGATGGTGGTGATAATGGTGGTGGTAATAATGATGGTGGTGGTGGTGATGAATGATGGTGATAATGGTGATGGTGATGATGGTGGTGGTGGTGGTAATGATGGTGGTAGTGATGAGGGTGGTAGTGGTATGAAGATGATAGAGATGATGGTGGTGGTGATGATGGTGGTGGTGATAATGGTGGTGGTGATGGTGATGATAATGGTGATGGTGATGATGGTGGCAGTTGTAATGGTGGTGGTAGTGATGAGGGTGGTAGTGGTGATGAAGATGGTAGTGATGATGGTGGTGGGATGATGATAGAACAAATGGTGATAAGATTATGGTGGTAATGATACTCTTCCTGTACCATTTGTTGAGCCTCTGCTTTGGCCCAGACCCTGAGCACTTTCTACTATTTCATTTAATCCTGGTGGCATGCTCCAAAGTCAGGATTATCCTCTCCACTCACTCCTGAGAACTGTGAGCTGGAGAAGGGACAAGGCCTGCCCAAGGGCACATGACCAGTCTGAGTAGGGCTTGAGTATCAGTGGACTTTACTGGAGAGCTGCTTTTCTTAGTGCATCAGGATCCCTGACCCATGGGCCATGGGACTAGCATCTCAGAAATGCCCATAAATACCGACTGAGTGAGTATTCAGTTCAATGGATGGATGTCCCAGGGCACGAAGCTTTAAACTCCTGAGATGTAAATAAAATCCTAAATGAGTATGCGTGCAGCCGCTGTTCAGATCTGTGTGGTGATGCTGTGATTGCTCAAATACAAGTGAATTACGAAGCATTATGTGAGTTACACCTTTTGTACTGCTCTTTTCCCAGTGAGAAAATGCTAAGTATGTAGTCATCAACAGGAGGAGCTTTGAAAAAATAGTTTCACACAAGATAGGTCTGTGTCCTGACAATGGCGACAGCATGCACCATCCTGCACAGCATGCTCAAGGTGCTTTGTCCAGTAGCTGGCACAGTGATCATGTGAGGAAGGAAGCCACTCTCTAGGCTGGGCATTGGACCTCAGGGTCCACTTACCTTCATCGCTGGACTTCATCTCTGCGAGACCCCACACCAGTACGCCAAATGGCCATTCCGTGGATGAATTAATGAATGAATAATGGGAAGAGAAAATGAATTATAATGAGTGGTGCCCAAGGAGCCATGAAGGGTGTTTCCTCAAGAAGAATGTAACAGTGAGAGTTCCACAGGAAGAAGGCAGGCTGGGATGCCTACCAGTCTGGGAAGGAGGAAAGTGACTTCCCATTCTATAAATGGGGTGCGGAGGCTGTGGTCACACATCCAGGTGGCAGGCCTGACATTGCCCCTACAGTCACAGTCACTGTGTTGGGAAGGACCAGTGGATAGGCTTTGCTTTCAATATGTTTTGAACTCTTTAAAAGTTAACAGATGGTAGAGGCATTATATTCTCACTTCTCTGCCCCTACAGGTCTCCTTCCAACACAACCCATGAAGCTCTGCAAAAACTCCGATCCAACTCGACCATGACACCACAGCCAGCTTCTGACAGGTAAGTAAGTCCTCCCCATTTCCTCCTGTACATGCACAGCACAGACATGGCTCAAAGGCCAACAGGCCATGTTTTATGGGTAGAAGGTAGAGGGGAAATTGTCTCAGTCTTGGACTTTAGACTGGAACAAAACTACCCAGACATCCAGTGGGGCCACTGGCATTTCTATTGCTGACTGTGTGTGATGAAGAGAGCATCCTGGGAGGGCAGCCAGGGAGCCCGTTCTGGTTCTGACCCAGGCTGCCTTCACCTCTCAGGAGAGACCCAGCACATTCCTGTAGAACTAGGCAAAGGACTCAGTGGATGAGTGAGACAGGCCTTAGTAGCTGGTTTAGGATCTAGACAGCTCAGGCCTGGGAGGAGGAGCATGTGGCTGGTACTACAGTTATCACTTTCTTCTCTGGGCTCAGGCCTTGCATTTGCAAAGAGCCTGCACTGGGTTGGATGTGCATCGTGTGTGGCAGAGGGACCTATGTCCCTTCTATAAAACCATGCTTGAAGTCAAACTCAGACAACCTCCAGCCCCAGGCCTGCCCTCTCCTGTCCACTCATCTGGACATCTTCCGTTGCTTGCTGGGCTGTTCTGTGTGCTGTGCACTGAGACACAGAGATGAACAAATCATAGCATTGCCTTTCAGAAGCTTCCATTTCCATGGACAAAATGCACATGTAAGTAACCATAGTACAGCAGATACTAGGCAGCAGGAGGGGGCCTGAGCTGGCCAAGGGGCCATTCAGGAAAAACAATTTGAAAATGACGCTTGAACTGGGCTTTGAAGGATGAGTAGAAGTTCCCCCAGCTACTTCTCTCCATGGGCAAAGGGCCCCTGCACTGAAGAGACAGAAAGTGCAAAACGGGGGTGGCGGGAACCAGGGTACAAGAGGAAGGTGGGCAGAAATGAATTAGGGGGGTGGGGTTGCAGCATTTTTGAATACATTACAGGGAGCTGAGTCTGGGTCCTTTGTAAATAGGACAGAAGGCGTCAACTTCATGGTTCTGAGCAGGGTCTTTAGGCTGGGAGCTGACAAGAGGTGTTGGTTTTAGATCCCACTGCATAGCGACAAAGGTCCCAAGGCAGCATGTATCTTGTAGGGTATCTGTGGGAGGGCCTCCCTGGTGTAGGCACCCTTCCAAGGAGCTGCATAGACAACCAGGTCCGCATCCTGAGCAGGTGAAGCTCTGGCCATGGGCTGTTTGGCTTGCCCTTTCCTATCTCCACCTGTCCTCCTCTCCTCTGGTCCCTGCAACACTATCAGCCACCTGCCTGGGGCAGGGACCTTGTAAGGGCTCAGTGCTGGTGTTCCGTGCCTTCCCTCTTCCCCTTCCTCCCTCCCCCGCCCTTGTGGCCTTTTTTCAGAGTGTGACACTTCAAAGTCTTGATGCTTTACAGTTTCCTCTCTTGGCAGAACTCCAAAAACTTTCACATCTGTCATCCTCTTATGACATAAAGAGCAGGCTTTGGGGCCAGAGGGACCTGCCCCCTGGCATGTCCCTTCCCTCCTGCAGAGTACAGCATGACCAGTGTCACCTCAGGCTCCCCAACCACTAAGCACCTATCTCTTAGATGGTTCCAGAATCAAACACAAGGGTCATATGAACAGCAGGCACAGAGCCCATCATAGGGCTGGATCTCTCATGACAAGCTCTCTGGCCATGTCCCTGCCATAGGGCAAGTGGGTAGAAAAGATCTATGAGGTCTGGTTCCAAGGGGTCATGAGTATGTGCACCTTAACAGGAAGTGACACAATGACCTTGGCTATCCTTGGTAAAGCCCACTCAACAGAACTCCATTCTAAGTGCTAGTAGTCAGGAAGTCAAACAAATAGGACAGTTCTTTCTCCAGAAGAAACATCAACAAGAAAGTGACTGCAATATAAGAAAGAAGAAACCAAAGCATGCAGGAAAAGCCAGGCAGGTGCTGGGAGAAGGCTTGTGGAGTAGGAGGAGGGCGTGTGTACTGGTGCTGGAGGGCTGCACAGGGTGGCAGTTTACCTGGGCTGTGGGAGGAAGCAGAGGGCAGTCAAGGCAGTAGACTGCACAATACATGCATGACAGGCCTGGCTGTGAACCCTCTCTTACATTGGGGGATCTACATCTGGTATTTCTAGTGACCTGCCCAACAGGGCTCCTGTCACGGGGGAACATTCCTAACCTACCAGCTCAGATGCCATCTGGAGGGTCATAGCTGGGCCATGCCCCACAAGTTAAGAGGAAGAGGGCTGAACTCCAGGCTAGGGTCAGTAGGGAGACCTCAAGGGTGAGTGACTGAGAGCTCCTGTGGCTTCCTCGGCAGGGGTTCTGGGCACAGGCTGCCCTCAGACTCCAAAGGGGCCTGGAAATGTTACTGCGCTTGTGCCTAGTACAGGGATGGACACGTTGAAACTTGGGCCCTGTGCAGGTACACAGAAGGAGGAATGCAGGCCTAAATGCCTGTGCTTTGTCACCTGAGTCTCTAGCAGAGCTCAATGCTATGGGACCAGAGATGGAGGGTGAAGACAGGGTGGGCACCCCAAACAGGGAACCTGAGCCAGATGGTTGCCATAAGAAAAATTATAAATAGGAACCACTAGGCATGTACTATATGTACCATGTGCCAAGTACTGGTCTAAAGGCGGTGTATGGATTTGTTCTCTGCTTGCACAACTCTATAGAGTAGAAGTTTCTGTCACCCTTTTACAGATCAGAACTGATAAAGAGGCAGTGCAACTAGCCCCAGCATACATAGCTAGGAAGTGGCTTAGCCAGGTTGAAGCTAGGTAGTCAGGTCTGAGGGAGTTTGCTCAAAGGATCCTAGGTAGAGTTTCTCTAAACACTAAGGTACTTACAGGGTTGGAGCTGGATCTACCTTGTTTCTAGTATATACTAAGAATTCAGTAAAGACATATTCACTAAAAAATGCACACATGTATGATAAATTAGATCCTGAATTATTTAGGGCAGAACATGGGGTAGGGGTTCTTAGGAAGATGGGGCAGGTGGGGAAAAAGCCTTAGGTCAGAGCCCCTGGAGTTTCTAAGAAGCACTACCAGGCCTGGAGATCTGGAAAGCCAAGAGAGTTGGATAGTGGGGGTGTCTAAGTGATACCCCTCCAGCCAACCCTACTCATGTGGGGATATGGTGTCTGCTGCCATCCTCACCCAGCTCATGTCACTTTGTCCTCCCGACCTTTTGTGCCTACATCCTCACTTGTCACTTTTTCCTCAAAGGCTCCCACGAGCAAATCTGGCACCCAAATCACAAGAGCCCACAGGTGGGGAAGGTGTGTGACAAAGGGGTTCAGGGGAGATTACTCAAGACTCACCTCTCACCAGGCATGGTAACACACACCTGTAGTCATCCCAGCACTGGGGAGGTGGAGGCAGGAAGATCAAGAGTTCAAGGCTAGCCTCAGCTCCACAGTGACCTCACAGGCAGCCGGGCTACTACATGAAATCCTATTGAGAGGGAGAGAGAGAGAGAGAGAGAGAGAGAGAGAGAGAGAGAGAGAGAGAGAGAGAGAGAGAGAGAGAGAAAGAGAGAGATTGTTTTT